TTAACAAGTTCTGGATTGACAGCTTGTATGGATCAGTGAAGCTGGAAACCGTTTATCTTTTAAATTATCTAAATATATTCTTCCCACTGTGCCTACTTTAGTTGTTATGTTTGGGTCATAGCATATACCATACAGGCCTCTGTTGATATTTTTCTGAAAATACTTAATATTTTATTAGGTATCCCTGAGGAGGATAAAGCTATCAGAAAGGCTCTCCAGTTCCCTTTCTGTCTTGACAAGTATAGGAGTGGATTTTCAGTGGCAATTGCAGACTCAAAGGGCAGCAAAGGGTCAGAACTTATGTCCAAAATGCCAGGCTGATCCTGGCCTCATGTGAAGATTACTAATATACCATTTGCAAAACTGTGTCTTTCATGAGACCAAATTCATATGGAATGTCTTTGTGTGGCATTTCTAACCCCACTTCAGACACCATTTCATCACATCTCCCTTGAAGGAGACATCATTTCATCAGAACTGGTCAGTCTGAAAAAAAATGTTCTGAAGTACACCGACTAGAAATATTGAACCATAGCTTACAAAAATGTTCAGCAGCTTCCATCATACATTCCAAAGATGAATTGTGGACAGAGTTTCCATGAGCTGACTGAGAGCTAGGAGCTGGAAGACACTGAGATGAAATGCTTCCCGGTTTTGGAGCCCACAAGAAGAGCTGAGGACAGTTACCACAGGGAGGCAAATCACAGTGTCATTTACTATTTATTTGGTATTTATGCAATGCTTTCTTTGCAAGGATCTCAGGCAATTTCACAGCTAATGGCTGAAGCATCAAAATATCCCTTGCCTTCATGTAAGCCTTGTAACTCATGGCATAAACCAAGTCAAGACGGGTTAGTTACTCACTGCAAAGCACCTTCTGAATGCTGAAGAGTGTGTCCATTTTATCTACACCTATTGGTACACACAGATTTTGTATTTAAAAGTTCTGTGTGTGATGTGCCTACCTTAACTGGTTTTAAGATGTGTCTTCCAGGAACAGTGCTCGGCTCAGTCCATTAGGGTAATGCTACTTGTTCAATGGAGTCACTTATGATTTACACTGGGGTAAGTGAGACTGGAAGCTGGGCCTTGATCTTTTTAATGCAAATTCATCAATTCTGTTAGATAAGAGATGAAAGGAGTCCATTATGTTCCTCAGTTATCTCTTGAAGTAAAATCATTTGATTGGTTCCAGGCAGTAAGAGGTGCCTACCCCTGCAGTTAGCTCTGGAGATGAATCCTTGGGTTGGCAACCAAAGCTCTTACTGGAGTTATTTATTTTTCATGGACAGTGATTGGTGATGAGTGCTAATAGTGACAGAAGTGATTTCCAAGTTAAAATTTAAGAAAGTAAAACTCAGGGTTAATATGTACCTCTGGTGTTAGCCTGAAAACTATGGGGCTTAACACATGCACATTCTTTTAAATCAAAACATTTTTTTCTCCTTTTAAATCCACACCTTGATGTTGTTCTGACAGTGGTGCAAATGAGAAGGTGACAGAGGTCTCTCTGATGTAAAATCAAAGTGAATTCAAACACATGGAGCAGATACTGGCATAGTGTAAAGCACAGAGCACGTAAATATAACAAATAGCTGGCACATACAAAAGTATAGCAAGTGCCAAATGTCTGCAATACTGCAAATTAACTGCTATGACAGGAGATCTTGCAGTGATGTTCAGAATGGAAAAGCAGAACTCAATTACAGAGATCATAAAATCATCCTCTCCCTTGATCTTCAGCTCCCTAAACCCGAAGAGGCAGAATGAGCTGGCTCTGAACAATCTTTTATCGGTGATGGATGTGGCACTGCTTTGTCCAGTAAAATTGCTGATTTACTAATAGAAAAAAAATAAATCTTTTGTGATGACACCAACCTCTCTAACCTGCTAAAGCAGGTGCAAACAGATGGGTATCTGTGTGACTATGAGTGATGAAAGCAGGTCTAGAGAAATACTCATAGTGTGTGAGAACTGATACTGCAACATGCAGTAACATCACCAGCAACCCCCATTAGGATATATTAATTTTCTTTGTGCCAAGAATATGACCAATGATACTGCATGGTTTGATTTAATACATCTGCCTCTTCTAGCAAAAAGGTAACAGGTATTTTATACAAACATGAAATGTGCCCAGGGAAGCCTGGAGAGATTTAAATTCCTGAGACTTTCCTCTTTATGGCAGTGCCAACAGACTTTAGGGACTTTTGATTCTACTAGTAAATTCTTTTTTAAAATATGGGATACCTGTTTTACTGATTTTGAAGGGAGAGAAATAGATTTTTGTTTCTGACATGAGAATATGTATTTTAAAAAAATAATAATTTCCCTTTATATATGAAATTTCACACTGGCTTTGATACTGGTGATGTTTTCTCTGAAGACTATTCTGATGTACTTCAACAAAAATTGCAACCTAGTCTGGTCGATTTAAAGTGGTGCAAACTACTGATATAAGCCAGGTAAAAATATGTAAGATGAGAAAAGAATGAGGCCCTGCATTGTTGGCAGAGCAGTTAAATACAGCTCTGAAACTTATCTGTTAAGTTACATATCTTGCAGCAAGTCAAGTGCTTCGAAAGATGAATACCCATCACATCTCAATGCTGAGGAAATGGTACTTTGTTTATTATAAATCAAAATTGAAGGACTTTTTTGGTGCAGCTCATCAAACACTGACTTAGGAAACAATTTTCTTCTGGCATATTTTTTCTCCTCAGTCGCCTACAAAGGCAGTTGGGCAATTTTTGTGGTTTCAGTATGAAGAAATACTTATCCTTTAATCCTTAAATCACTGCAATTGAGTATAATTTCATGTCAAAAGCAGCCAATAAAAGTACAAAATAGGGATTAGCAGGAGTATTTTTAGATTAAAATTACTAGAGTTGGAAAGAAGTGGCACATAATCTCAGAACCTTCACAAGTACTGTAGCAAGCAGAAGAGGATTTGTTCTGTTTCATTTGAAGTCTGATAGCATAAGTTACAAGGGAGAAGAGCTATTATTCTAACAGGGAGGATTTCACAATAATCATAATCCATAACTATACATAAATTTAATTGAAAGTTAATTCTTTTTTTGTCTGATATATTTTAATCATCAATGCTGTACAACACTTCTGCTTCGACTGGAACAGCACATGGGAAGGAAAGTTAAACCGATCATTTGGGCCATAAATTAGGACACTCATACAGCTGCAGCAATTGCTTTCATTTCTAAGCATTAAAACAAATGTCTACTCTCATTTAACCTTGAGGCACAAGATTCTCATCGTTTAGATTGGGATATAATTCACAGGAGTGAATATAAGGTTCTGATGGAATTAAAAATAGTCCCTCTTCATTCCCTTCCCATAGTGCTCAGGCTGGTTGTGTGGCCACATTTGCAGCATGAAGTCCTGACTCAGTTTGTGTATTTGAGAGGAAAATTGTAAAACAACCCTCCCCCCCAGCCTCTGATCTACAGCTCACTTTTGAAAGAAGCATGTACTAGTTTCAGATCCTGATACTTGGGATATTTCTTAAATCTTGCCTGGAGTTGTATATGACAGGCATGAATCACAATAAATGGCAACTAGTGTCTGCACTTCCCTTTTTAGAACACAGACAAATTTATTGGTTAATGTTTATATAAGCACGATGTGTGTCTGATTTACTGTACCAATACCTGCAGCTGGAGAATATCTGTTCTACTCAACAGCATTTAAATGACCTTTGGGGTGTAAAACGTGTATCCCATTATCCCATTAATGACTAGGCACAGCTTTGGGCAACAACAGAAAAGTTATTTATATGCACAATGATTGTTTTTCTTCCTCAACCACTTTTATAGCTTCCCCAAGTTATAGGAGAGTCAATAGCTGACTTAGTGATGCTGACAGACTAAGTAGTACTTTGTACATACTCATTGCTAGAGAAAGAAAAATGTTGAGCTTATGTTTGTGACCTTTAGATTCAGAGAACTGGCTAAAATCAATTCATAGTTCAAAGAGATTGGATGATACCTACATTAAGCAGTAAAAATTGCTTCCACTTTGATAGAATGTGTTCAAATATAACACCAAGGCAACAGTCATTGATTTGGATACAGAATGGGGAGTGAGGTGGGTTGGTCAAGTGTAGGAGGTGGGGGAACAATTTGACAGGTTTCAAGCCAGTCTGTCTTCAAGACTTAAGAAAAAGATTTAGATGAAAACTAAGGAATCTGGCCTAGCAACTACTGTTATTAAGGAATATATATGTGTTCTGTGGCAGATCACTCTGTGCAGTACAAACAGGACTGTCCCTAGAGAACTATACACTGAATCATGAGAATATCATTGAGAGAGGAGTATCAGGTGACTGATGAGTGGTTGCTATGCTATTGCCACTTTCTGCCTGAGGTCAGGACCCAGCTTTTCTTTTATCACAGCAGAAGACCTCTTCTAATGATCAGCCCTCAGAGATTAATGGTACCAGCTGAGTTTCAGAGCTCTCAGGAAGATTATTGCTCAGGCTATGAACAATAGTATTGAAAAGCTTTAATTATCTGTTGCCTTCAGTTGTTGGAATAGTTGTTCTTGCATGACACTTTGTTTATCATCATCTTCACAGGTCACCTTGCAGAACAGATGCCTTGCAGCAAAAGAATTGAGAGGAAAAGTGAAGTGATACTGGCATGTGTCATGTTCTGATCTTACTGAGGAGGAAACATGTTCTGAAGTCCTATGCCAGCACTGAGGCAGAAATACAGATGTGGTGATTCATGCCATCGAGCAAGTCCTGCTGTGAAGAATTCTCCCTAGTAGCAAATGAGGTGGTTTATCTATTAAATTTCAACTCACAGAGCCAGGTATTCCTGAAATCAGACCTGAGAGCTGCTTGTCAGGTAAGGGCAAAAGAACACAGCCTTGAGAGTTTAATTGCAGATACAGTGTGTGTGGTAATGCCATGTTAGTTCCTATTTTCTTACAGCCTTTGTATGCAAAACCTTTTCAACATTCTAAAAATTAGAAGTTACCTGGTCTGGGGACTTTGGTACAGATTCGACCATTTCCAAAAAACCCTGCTGGGCATCGACCACAGACATATCCAACATAAGGAGGTCTCCTATCAAAACACAGCACTCCAGGGAAACATGGTCTGTTGGCACAGGTAGTGATGTGTGACTGTGGTGCTGTGTGGCCCAAAAGGAGAAGGGACAAGCATGTTATGAACAATTTCTCAACTCAATTGCACATATAAAATTAAGCAGGGACTGACTGCCTGAGCCCAGTTAAATCTTTATAACTGTTTTTATTCTTTTAAAGCCTAATTAATGCAAAATGTTCTCAAACCTTGAGCCAAACATGAGAATGTCCTGTAGGCACAGTGTAACGGAACAGCTGTTTCTCATTAAAGCAAGATTTATTAGTCCTCTAATTACATGTTTTCAAGTTTATTACTCAAAGTTGTTTGGCATTTATCATGTACAATACAGAAACTGTAATTTTCAGCATAAGTGAAAGATTAACCAAGTAAGAAACAATATTATTTCACATCTTTTTGGTCTTTTATAACTGGAAGGTAATTATCAAACCTTACAGCACCTATACCCTACTTTTAAAATGACACTGTCAAGTACATATGTTTCTGATCTAGAAATCATCCTTAATATGTCAAACCTTGTATCATAGAAAAATGCTTTAATTATCTTAGGACTATGTGCAAAATTTAACACTCTGGTAGTATATAATATTTTATCACTTATGATGTCACTGAATAGCAAGTGTATATGAACTGCCTGTGAAGTATTTAATAGTGTCAAGGCAGAGAATAGATGATGAATGCAATCTTAATGATGGTTGTAGATCTTTTTTAATTGCCTCCAGTGAGGTCTCCATCATAATTCTCAAGTATTTTCTGCATGATTCTCACACCATACTTACAGCATTATGATAGAGGATACCTACAAGAGGAAAGCACTAGTTAGGGTTTGGCTGGCCTGATACAGATATTTTTATAAAAAGGCAAGAAAAATATGCCTCTACTCAATGGATATTCCCAGTCTCAATAATTTTGCTGCCTACTTTCAATTGAAAATAAACTGAAGATGCAACACTCATTAGAGCAGGGCCAACATTAGCATCGTGCAGGTGCACACCCATTTAGAGGGTGCTGTAGTGCTTCACCTCTGGGAAAAGCTACTGCCACAGCCAAGTTCATTCATCGAGTCAATCCTCACTTATGCTTAAAACTCAGTATTTATTCAGTGACTGCCCAATAAATACTGAAATAAAATGTCAGCATCACTTGGCAATGGCAAGTTGGCATAAACCATCACACTTATCATCTTGCTTTCCATTGATCACTAACATTTGGAGTGGTTTTGTTCTACCTCAGAAGTGATGCTGATTTCTAATTAAGCCTGACCACTCTGATTGCTATTGCTGTAATGCCTCCCATGTAAAATTGTTTAGCAGCAATCTACAGTCTGATGTATTAAGAGGGTTTTTATTCTTAACTCCAATTTTCTATGTCATATTATAAACAGCTGGTTTGTATTTACTGTTAGGATAGCAAAATATATGATTTCTTAATACATAAACTGCAGCAAACTAAAAAGGTTTCATATTCTGTGTACCTACCATGTCTATCACTTATGGTAAAATTCTTAATTACAGGAGAATCCTTTGCCTCTAAGGATTGCAGTGGCTGCTTAACCTCAGTCCTGTTCAATTCACCTTTGCCATTGCTTAAAGCTTCTGTAACGTCAGCAGCAAGCACAGCTGTGAAAAGAAATCACAGAGACAAGGAAACAAGGTGTTAGAGCTTAGCTGTGATTGATGATAAAAAGCAGCAGCAACAGCAAATCAGGTAACCTGGGATGAGTTTACTCTGGAAGGCAACCATCAAGCAAATAAAGGCAAATCAGGTGAGTCAGCTGCTGACACACAACAAAGCTTCAGCACAAATATAGGAAAAATTATTATGCCCAAGCTCACTGAACTTTGCTTGTCTGGGAGACTTACTTAATATGCACAGTGATCTTTTATTGAGCTCAGGGCTCTGAGAAAGGCTCAGGTTGACTGGTATTTGACAGCACTGGTACTTGCATGAAGATGCTATACTGCACACTGGGGTCTGTGCTCTGTCCAATTCCTGCTTCTCCTTGAAAGCTTCTGTCTGAAACTATGGGGTTTTTTGTGTGTGTGTTGGCTTCAGTTAGTTCAGCTGCAAACTTTGTGTGTGTCAAAATACCTGCAGATAGTATATGTGGATGTAAAGAGCTAAGCTGATTGGTAGGGACTCTAAAAAATATTATTTTCTGCATAACTCTAAGGTAATTTAATGAATGAATTAGGGATAAAGTCTACATGGATAATGTTGCAAGTTAAACAACTATTGCCCTGGGTCTCTTGAATATCTTTGCCCTTAATAAAGCCTGAGATGATGGCTTTTTGTATATATTAATGCAATGAGTTATTGCTCACTGTAAAAGCTATAAAGTTACTTCACATTTCTCCTCCTTCCTCCCAGAAGTCTTTGTACTTGCTTTAGCAAGGGAAGTATGAGCA